TCTCTCTGTCTCTCTCTCACACACACAGATGCACACATTCTCTCTCACACACACACATGCACACATTCTCTCTCTCTCTCTCACACACACACACACACGCACACATTCTCTCTCTCTCTCTCACACACACACGTTCCTGATATGAAGGTTTTACTCACTCAGGTACTTCTTGCTCTCACCCTTGATGCATGCCGAGGGAAGCATTCATTTCACCCACCAGAGACACCTGTGAAGCAGCTCCCAAGGTGCTGTGGGAAATAACACCCTTCACTTTCATGTATTTGCTTCCTGGATGATCTGTAGCTGGTTTCACAGCTTCTCTTGCAGCGTAAGAAGAGCAATTTCACACTCCCCAAGGTGCAGAGCAGGGTGTGTGAGGATGCTGCCTATGGGGTCTGGGATACATTGTCTGCACACTGTAGGACATTCCAAGTCATTTGGGTGATGTCTGCCTCCTGAGCTCTCTAATGCAATGGGATCTACACCCAGAGCTTCTGGATTTCTCGGGGTCCCATGGAAGGGGCAGCAGAGGCCATTTATTTTGAGCTTCCTCCCAAGGATAGGATTGACAATCCCCACCCCCAGGTGTCCTAGTCCACTGACTGGACATCCTCTGTCTGGATGCTTCAAGCGAAACGACCACCCAGAGCCAGGCATATGAGCAGAGTGTGTCTTAGTCAGGGTGTTCTGGAGAAATAGAGCCAATTCCACATATGCACATGTTTGCTGTTATGTACTTTCCAGACAGAACCAATCCATAGCTGAGACTGCCCATCCTTCTCCTGTGGAGCAGCTGGTGAATGTGAACCACACACCTTTGCATTAGCAGCAAAATGCCTTACCACTAAGCCACCAGACCTCCTCTGTGTGTGTGTGTGTGTGTGTGCACATCTCAACAAAAGACATATATGTGGTTATAGAGAAATAAAATATAAAGATATGTGTGTGTGTGTGTGTGTGTGCGTGTGTGTATAGTTTGTTGTTATGTGCCACTGAGTCACCTGCAACTCATAGCAACCCTATGTATAACAGCCCTAAACCCTGCTCTATCCCTTGCCAATCTTATTGTCTCAGACACACCTTTCCCCATTATCCCAGTCACTGAGTCAATCCATCTCATCGAGGTTCTTCATCTCTCGTGCTGTCCCTCCACCCTCCCAAGCATGACGTTCCTCTCCAAGGACTGGTCCCTCCTTGCAACATGTCCAAAGTATGTAAGACAGGGCTTCAGAATCCTTGCCTCCAAGGAGCAGCCCAGCTTCACCCTCTCCAGGATGAACATATATAAGTATTTGTTAGATGTCATCAAGTACATTGTGACCCCTAGTGACCTTAAGAACAGCAGAAAGCCTGTGCAGCCCTGCACCATTTTCAGTGTTTGAGCCCATTGTTGCTACTGGTGACCTGGTCGTTAAGGAGTTGTACTGCCAACCCCAAAAGCAGCCAGTTCAAATCCACTAGATACTATGAGGGAGAAAGTTTGGCAACTTGCTCCCATGTGATTTACTGCCTCTGAAAACCCACTGCAGGGTCAGCTAGGAGTCAGTTCTGACTTGAAAACACATAACAACAGCCACATGCTAATCCATGCCATCAAGTGTCTTTTTCTTTTTCTCTGACTCGATTTTACAAAGTATGATGTGCTTCCTCGGAGACTGGTCTTTCCTGATAACCAGCCCTGAGATTAAATCTTTCCATTCTTGCTTCTGGCGGTGCTACTTCTAAGCTTTATTTGTTTGTTTCCTGGCAGTCTATGTTATTGTTGTTGGGGGCCATTGAGTCAGAACTGACGGAAATGACTCGTAGCTGACCCTCCAGGGGTTTTCAGAGACAGTTAGTTGCACAAGAGGAGATTGCCCATCCTTCTCCCTCAGAGCAGCTGGTGGATTCAAACCATGTGCCTTTCGGATTGCAGTGCAGGTTCTTACCACTCGGCCACCAGAGTCCTCTTCACCAATTCAGAAGAATCCCTTATTCATTGTCATGCTTTCTCGTGTGCATGAGATGACTGGAAATACCCCAGCATTGTTCATACATCTTAGTCCTCAAAATGATATCTTAGCTTTTTGTAACTTTCAAGAGACCCTTTGTAGTAGACTTGCCCAATGTGTAAGTCTTTTGATTACTATCCCCATGGCTGTTAATTGAAGAGTCAAGTGAAATGAAATCCTTGATAACTTCAATATGTCAATAGACAGATATTTATGGACATGTGATTATGGCGCTGACAAACCCCCACTCCAAATATCATGTGATAGGTACCTTCATTTCCCAAGACCCATAGGCCAGGTGATGGGAAGAATAGAGAATGAAGAGACAGAAACCAAGTTCTGGAAAACAGAGCACACCTAAGGAAACCCTGCTCTCAGCTGATTGGTTAGGATTGCATCACATGGTGTCACATTATGGAATAGCAGCTGGCCTCGGGTTGGCAGAACCTCTAGGAAGGGTAGTCTGCCAAGCAGACACATGACAATGCATGAACAGAAGATGCCCAGTACCTGTTCATGGAAGTGCCCTTCTCATGCAGCAAGCTCAGGGGTTTTTATTTATTTATTTATTTATTTATTTACTTACTTACTTACTTACTTACTTACTTACTTACTTACTTACAGAGGTTTTGGATTTCCATTC